CATCAATCGGAGGGCGCATCATGCATATCCACCCTAACCAACATTGCACACTCGCCGTACAAATGTCGCAACGCCACCGTTTCGTTTACTTCGCCATATCTCTCGCCACACAGTCGTTTTACACACGCTACAAGGTGGCGTCTCCATCCGCACCGTCCATCAGCACACATAGTCTCCAACACCGAGCTGCCACGTCACGCTCACATCCGAGATCTACCCCGTACACTTGCCTTCGAATTGTCCTCTCGCACATCTAGTAACCATCCATCCATCTCATCGCCATATTCATTCGCTCAATGTGCGCGAAACAATCGTGACCGTACACCTGTCGCGCCCACCGCGAATATCAAGACGAGTTCCCAACCAGTACGCCATCACTCCTATGCGTAAATGTGATAGTTCTAACGTACTGGATGATGACACGCGTAGTTTTGTGCGTGCGTGTCAAATTGGGCATAGGTTCCAGTTCAATGCTTATCCATGATGTTATCCAATCGGAGCGCCACACGCCCGCACTGTTGTGACGGGCACGTCCAACCCAGTCGCGACATATGGAACACTCCGCGACACGCGCCGCCAAGTGCGGCGCACCATTAGTCCGCCCGCACACCTGGTTCACACCTGCATGTCGCATTGTAGATCCTCCTCTACCTGCCTGGGCTATCTTGTGCAACAATACCCCAAACGAGATCTCCCATTGATAACAAAGGCCCATACAATGAGTTACACAACTCCTAACTACACCAATCATCCTCAACTCTCAATCAAACACATGCAACCCCCCTATCCCACATAGCTAAACTTCCTACACCGCACACATAAGCCCAGACGATTCCATCAGCGCAGCTCTCCAGCACTCCCGTCAACCGTCCACCACCCCCGTCCTCTATTGACGGTCTACTCAGCACCAAGTGACGCCGAAAGGTCGTCATCCCCTACGATGCCTTCGGACTGGGCGGCGGCTGTGGGCCTCATGTGCTCCAGGCCGCACGCAGAGATGCGCAGTCCATGGCGCCCCCAAATCCACGCCTCGCGCTCCGCGTCATACTCGGGGTTGCGGATACGGATGGCCCTCTCCACGGCCTCCTTGACCAGGACCTTGAGCCCATCCACAACGTGGGCGTTCCCGCCCGCCGAGTTGGAGAGCCGGCCTTTCCGCTCCTCCCAGTAGAGGACGCAGTCGGAGACCTGCGCCAACACACAAAGCGTCAGTCCATGCATTTCCAGTACGATGCACACCATTGCACACATCGAGCGCACACACTCACCACATGCTCCAACCAGGCCAGGTGGTACACCTTAAGGGTCACCACCAGCCCTGCCTTCTTCGGCTTGAAGGCAGCCTTCGCACATGTCGCGAACGCTCGGGAGGCAAACGGCATGCCATCCCTGTCGTGCGCCCAGCTCGTGAGCACTAGAGTTTCTGCACACCACATCCGCACTGTCAGTATCAATGTCCACAATTCTCGCATTGGTGCATGACTACAAACGCTCAACGACTCCAGCGCGCGTCTCCTGCACTCACCAGGGGGGTCTGCGCCAAACCCAATGCGCTCCCTTATCTTCTCGATACTACGCTCCTTTTCAGGTGCCCACGGGCTGGATGCGTCCCTGTCGTCACGGAACAGGCCAAGCTTGGGAAGTGCAATGTCTCGCACGCGAGCGGCAGCCCTTGTCTTCCACTCAGACAGCGTCTTGTTGAGATCCGCTCGACGAGACTTGTCAGCCGCCAACGCCAAACAGGCGAAGCTGTGAGGCACGCGGTCCAGCACCGCGCACACTCCGTGAGTCTTATCGTCGCTGCTCCGGTAGAAGGTCATCGTCGACGTTGGCCTGTTGAGAAACATGTGAACTCTGGCCAGCTCGCAAACCCTCTGCGCCCACAAAGTATACACCATTAACAACATCAGCGTACACCGTGGATCATCAACGGGCACACATTGCAACCCAATCTGGTCCATCACTAAGGAACCCTTTCGGAAACATGCCCGCTCACCTTCCACGCCTTGTCAGTCGCCAGATGCGCCAACGCGCGTTGCAGAATAGGAGACTTTGCTGTACGCATATGACGACCACCAGAACCATGCGTATCTTCCTCGTCGTCCTCTCCGTCATCGTCCGACCCGCCGCTCCATGTCTCGCCACGCTGACGCTTCGGGTTCATGCACCCCTGCTCCGGGTCTCTCTGCTTCAGAGCCTTACGCTTACGAGAGCCACCAGAAGGCCGCGCCATTGCATTCAAGAACAGCGCCTCCAACCACGCGTTCTCCTTGGCGCTCTTGTCCTGAGCCCGTATGAGTTGCTCGAGGACCCTGCTCGAGATGCGCACGTCATCGCCGTCGGTGTCCACTGGGGTCCCGCATGCGCGGTCCACATGTCCGTCCACATGTCCTCGGCCTTTGCCTCGAGACACATCCGTCTCCCGCGCGCCCCGACTTTCGCACCCGTCGGCTTTGGGTGAAGCGGTTCCCGCACACCCATCGTCGCCCGTCTTCCCCCCCGTGGCAGGTTCGTCAGATTCTTCGGGTGAGCCTGAGGCCGATGTGTCTGAGTCTGCCTCGCCATCCTCTTCATTGCGCTCAGACGATGAAGCACTCTCTGCACCAGTGCCGTCATCTGCGATGTTAAAGATGCACCAGAAAAGCACGGTACCTCATGTCAGCTATAGTTGTTGTACACGGGGGTTCTTACGTATAGACAGTACGAACACTCGCATTAATACAACGAGTCACCCATCCACGCTCTTGCTGCATACCTTGCTCCTGCTGCACCACCTCGTTTCCCTTATTGGCCACGGTCTGACGCTTAGGCAGTGTCGGCCCGCGTTTCCCGTTCGACAGCCGACCTCACGGCATTGTCAGCTGATACGACGCTCGTACGTACGCCGGCGGGTGTGATACACGACGGGAGCGCCCTCCCGTCAGAGTATCCTCTGAAGCAAGCGAAGTATCCATTGTAGCAACGTAAGTATCCAGTGAGATGCTCATAGAATGACGCGCGGTTCTATATTTCTACGTTTATTTTCCGCTCAACTTCTTACCACACCGGAGACCAGCTTGGGCAGTGAGTTTTGTAGGCCATACGACTTTGTGGCCATTTGGATGACCGCAATCCGAAACGACTAATACATGCACACCACGTCATCCGCCACCCTGTACATCTGTGCACACATGAACCACACACCGTGCACATCCTGGTGACACAACCGTTTCCTTGCAACTCGTTTGTGAGTCCACCACGTCTCACTGACATATTCAGGGTACACGTTGTTCACGTACATCCGTTCATTATACATCTCACAAATTGCACGTTACCGTAGTACACAATGTAAATACCAATACGGCTACATTGTGTACGCAAGAGCCTTCGCATTCATCAATCGTGCATACAAGCAGACAGAATGACGCGCTGCAAATCTCTAACTGCAGTACACGCTAAACACTCCGTACACCTTCACGTCTCTTGGACGTCTATGCCGCTACATCCCATATGCAGGATGGGCTGACAACTTCTCCCATGCAACAAAGTCTTCTACACCCTCTTCGGTTTCGTTGTTCCTCGCACACCCGCCGATGCCGTTGTGCACAGGGGCCGTTCGCTCACTCTCAGCATTGTCAGGGTCGTCTGGTTCGTTGGCCGCCGTGTTGTTGCTATCCACCACCCTCTGCCTCTTTGACGTACGTGTGGCAACCACTCGCTTCCTCCCTCGTTTTAGCTTCCAGTTCACGCCCTCCCGCGCCATCACTAAGTGAACACTATGTGTGCATTGCGTCACTATGCAGCGCGCCAGTATGCTTCTTCTACTGCACACACGCGGACGGGAAGGTGCACAAGGCGGTCCCTTGCCTGTACGGATACCCGGCCGACTTCCCGGAATCCAGCAGAGCCTCCGCAACTCTTCAGCAAGGATCGAATCGGCCATGCGCTAACTGCTATGCTGTGAAGGGGGAGTTGACCATGATGGTGGGGAAGTCTGATTCACGGACCCCCGATCAGCAGAGGGACATTGTTCGTCAGATTTTGGCGTGCAAGAAGAAGGGCGAGGCAGATGATGTGCGGAAGTTATGGTCAACCCATCCGATCGAGGTGTGTTTGCTGTTGCGCAGTTTGGTGGTGCGTACTGAAAGGGGGCTGGATATCATGTGGACTGCTTAACAACATTGAGTCATCTGTTGGATGGTTGCAGTGCGTGCTTCAAAGGTGGAATTTCGCAGACACAGAGTGGGGAAACGTGTACCTGGCATGCCTAGCAGACACACTGCACGTTCTGGACTCCGGTGTGCTGAGCCACATGATGGACACCTACATCAAACCTCTTGGAAAGGTTGAGATGCGGCTGCTTGAAAGGTGAGCTATGTGTAGTCGGGTGTGAGAGCGGTAGCCAGCTCTACTCTGCAGGGGTTAGTTGGGGTCTAGGCCCCCATGTGTGTCAGCGGATGACCACTTCGTACTATGTATGTGCGCAGCCGCAAGAAGGAGTTCAAGCGTTTCACTCCAAGCGTTCTCCTCCATATCCCTGGAGGATCATCGTTCTTCAGTTCTGGCGCAAACTACGCGGCGTTCGAGCACATGAGCATGATGCAGATAATGCCGTTACTGGTGGCAGACGAGAGTGCATTGAAGGCTGGACCGGAGGGAGAGCTGCGTGCTTTGCAGGTCAAGGCGTTCCGGCTGTTTGCCGTATTTTACAAGGCATTTCTGGGGGTTGACAGGCACACACACACGAAAATTGCGATTGCCCGGCAGCATGCGATAGCGTGAGTACTTGTATACCCCACGCCGTGGGGTTACACGGATTTGTGGGAGGGTATGCTGAAAGATTGCACGGCTATTTTGAGGTCGCCATATACGATGATGCATCCAGTACTGTGCCTTGTCGGGGGTGCTGGTGCAGGTAGGTGGCGTTGCTACCGAAGGCATTTCCAACGCAGGCATTCCACTGGCAGCTCCCAAAGATACACATGATAAGACATTTGCTGGACAACGTCACCGAGCGTGGGATGCCGCACCACTATTCAACTGAAATGTGGGAGCGCACGCACAAGGGCACGGTGAAGGGTCCAGTAAGAGGGAGCAATTGGAGCGACATACCTCGACGAATCGTGGAGGAGGAGGTGCAGCAAGAGGTGTACCGCGAGGTGGCGGCGGACGCTGGGGGTGGGCGACAGTACGCGTCCGCCTTGCGTGAGGTGTGTTAGGGGGACTTGGGGACGATGATGGCCAGTGTTGGTAGTCCAGAGTACACCGTACACCGGGGTGGAGGCGTGCTTCAAACACCGTGTGGTTCGTTGTGCGAATGCGTGTGTTACGTGCAGGCAATCAAGACGAAGAAACCGGTGCTCACGAAGAAGTATCAAACAATGCGGATTGGCGGAGCGACGGATCCGGTGTACGATGAGTACATGACTGCGCTGGGAGACGATATGAAGGGTTTGGCTGATGAGTTTGAGGCGTTGGGTCTGGCTACCAACAGCGTGCAGGTGAAGTGAATACAATGTGGCGGGCATGTGACGTTTGTAGTCTTACATGATGGTGCTCACCGCACTCATGATGTGCACGTGTTGTTGGTTTGGTTGGGATGGTGTGACAGGTCCACACGGCGGTGGCCATTCCGCGCACAAGAGGCGGCGAGATGGTGGCCAAAGGGACATTTGTGAAGGCGTCGCCCCGAGAGAGGTGGTATTCGGACGTGGCGCTGCTCAATGACAAGGGTGGGGACTGGTATGCAAAATGTCTGTGCATCTTCAGGGCGGTTGACCGTGATGGGGATTGGAAGTGGTACGCATATGTGATGTACTATGAGAAGGCTGGGAGGTGCAAGCTCACAGGATGTACGCAGCTGCACAAGACAGTGGAGAATGTGAGGTTCTCGGTGGTGGAGCTGAAAAGCCTGCAGAGAGTTGTGCACGTGTGCCCTTCGTACAGCAACAAGAAGGTGCAGCTAGTAAACAGGTTTCTACTATGCGAGTGACGCAATGCGTTTTCAGACAGTGGTAGCAGCGATGAACTTTGCATGGAGTATCTAAGCGTAGTGCGTTTTTTATGTGTAGAGGCGCGGTTTGATGGAACTTGTGTTATCCAGCGGTGATGTTAATGTGCACTCAGTGAACGGATGATAAGACGTGCAATCAGGTATATGTGTGCAGGTATATGTGTGCAGTATCGAGGTTGGCTTACGAAGCGTATAACGCAAACGGGTACGCTTATTCCTTGTGCGGTCGGGGTTGCACATCTGCGATGTATGGTGGTGCACACTCGCGGTCTCAGGCAGTTGGCTGTTCGGATATGGGTGACGAGTACGTGGCATCGTGGGGGCGAGATGTCCTGTGTGATCGTTACAGGTGGGAGTATTACAGGAGTGTGTTATCACTGTGCGGCGCAGGGATTGTGTTCGGTTGGTTGTGTGGCCAATGTCAACTGCTGTACATAGTGTGCGTGCAGGGGCAAGCCGGGGGTACGTTACGGTCAAATGAAACATATATAGGAGGATGTCGTGTGCACTTCATTGCATACTTGCGTACCAGATAACCAGTGTGTTACAATGGGTGACCTGAAGGGCCTGCTTGCTACCGCGCACCCTGATGACATGTTCTGCTTCCACGAGATTAATTTTCTTCCCAGCCGGCTGCTGAAGTCGTACATTCCGGATAAGCGCAATGTGGTGGAGCGTATCGTCAGCGTCGGCATCCTCTAGAACGCGACGGGGAGTTGTTCCGCGGTGCCTCTGGTGGTGCTAGAGCCATCCAATAGGCCCGAGCGCCGGCGGGCGAGCGCGGCTTTGCGCAAGGTGGCCGTTCGGTATACGAACCGCGGGCGGTTGACGCCGGAGGTATGGATGAGTGCGCATTGTGCATTTTTATGGTTGGACGTGATTTGCATCAGCAGCGCGTCCATCTCCGTTGTATTTGCGTACCGAAATGGCCTATGGTGACGTGATCGCTATGTGGTATTCACTGCACACAGGTGTTCACGGAGTTGTGGAGACAGTCAATGGTGTGCACTTCAGCCGTGATCGCAACACCATCATCCTCACCATTCACAAGGCGCATCGCATCACCGGCGAGTTGGCGCCGCCCGTCAAGGAGCACGGCTTCAGTGTGCAGCACCTCACCAACACCCGAATCGTCAACATTCGTGGATCGGTTCCGGAGACGGGCCTGCCGCACCTGCAGGGAGTGGGTGACGCGCTGAAGGCGTATTACCGCGTTATGCTGATGAGGCGTGCGATAGGGTCCAAGCGGTTCCAGTTCGACTATTCGGCTTCCATCGCTGATGTCGACTATAACGACATGCTCGAGTGGCTGGGAGAATCGTGGACTCGTGTGCGTGCGGCAACCATGCAGCGGAGCTGGTGGCGTGCAGCATGCGTGCCGGCGAGCTGGCCGCCCCTGATGGCGTACCTGGGTGACACGTGCGCAACCGGCATGTTTGAGCCTATTATTTCGGTATGCGTCGATTTGCAGTTGCTTATCGAGAAGTTCAAGGTGAGGCCTGCGTGCTACATGATGGCCGCGGATTTTATCAACTGCGACGCAGGACTATGCGTGGAGCAGGGGTTCAGAGCCACACCTGCTGCCAGCGCGCGTCCGATGACTCGTCGGGCGAGATGAGCCTGCCGGACGGCCCATTGCTGCGGGACGAGCGCAGCAGGAGGCGTGTGATACGCAACGTCACAAACGCGTACATGGAGCGTGCCGATGAGCTCGGCATCCCCCCAGCGGCTGTGCCTGCAGAGGTCGGAGCATCGAACCAGGAGGTGATTTCCCGCCTATGCAGGACGCCTGTCAAGAGGGCACGCGCGGGGGGGGGGGGGGCGAGCTGAGGACGGGACAGCCGAAGAAGTGCTGCAGAGTGATGAAGTGCTGGAGAGTGATGACGACCACTGATGCGCCTGGCAGTAGTGGGGTTTGGTTGTGGGAGTTGACTATGTGCGGTACCGTACGTAGGGGGGACGCATTGTTGAAGTTGTAGTTGTGGTTGTTATTGTGTGCGCAATTTTATTGGGAGTTGGTGGAATATTTTTGGCTGATGTGACTATAAGCAAACGTAGTGTGCACACACATGTTGTATTGTGACGGAATTAACGAAGCGGCATAGTTATATCGCGGATTTTGGATCGAAGGAGTTCGGAGCCGCGAGTGCGGCTCGAGATGAAGGTGTGCGCTTCGCAATTCCTACATGTTTGCGGAAAAGTTACAGCCAAGTCACTTTCGTGTGTACGATGACGCTGTGCGTTTCTGATGTGCAAAATGTTGCGATTTGGGTGCGGTGTTTTCAAGCAGCTTTCCGCAACTTTCTAGCAAGGCCGACGCAGAAAAACCTTCGGGGGCCAAAAAATCGCAACTTTCCTTTTTTCGCGATGGATCGGTACCACGACCCGGTGTGGATGGTGATTGTCGGGCGACAGGGTCTCGTCAGTAGGGCGCCCGTCTGACTCGTATCTTTTCCCGACCCTTCTCTGTCGTTCTTCTTTCCCTCCTTAAAACCCGCAGCCTGAATTACAATAACGAGTCAACGCTTGGTTTGGGAAGAGGTTGGGGAGAGGTTCGGGTGGGTGGGTGACACTTTCGGGTGGCGAAACCAATTTGTGAACACACTTGTGTCGCAACATAGTATCTGGGCGACGGAAACCAATACAATGACGAAGGGATGTGACCTAGAGAACCTCCCTCGACAAAAAACCAGCACACCATTACTAGCTACTAACTAGGACACGGAAGTATCGAATCTTAGTGTCCTCCAAGCGGCAGCACACAAATTCAGTCGCTACATTTCGCGAACACTCTTATATTAGGGTTTTATAGCGACGAACGCATGTCAGATAACCGGAATTAGTAGGTGCAGCGTGTATACGCAAGCGAAGCACGGTGAAAATGGGCGTGAGGATATGAGAAATTAGCGCTTTGCCCACCTCGCGACCCTCGCCCATCGCCCTTGCTTTCCCCGCCCACCGCCCGTCGCCCTCGCCGCCTAGCGGCCCGTCGACCTCGCTTCCCTCGCCCATCGCTCTCGCTTCCCCCGCCAGTCGCTCTCGCTTTCCCCGCCTACCACCCTCGCCTCGCCCGTCCTCCTCGCCGCTCCACCCGCCGCCCTCGCTTCCGCCCGTCGCCCTCGCTTCCGCCCGTCACCCGCCCTTCCGCCCGTCGCCTCCGCACGCCGTCCTTCCTTCCCCTCGCCGCGCTCCCATCCGCCCGTCGCCCTCCCTTCGTCTCGTCGCCCTCCATCGCGAAATTCCGAGTTTGCACAAAATGTACACGGTAGCTTTTCCTGCGGGAAACCTTCGGAAAAGCTTCGGAAAAGCTTCGGCGCGCACTCTACAGCTGAGTGGCCAAAGTGACATTGCAGCAACAACTCTGAAGTGTCTCCAACGCTACTTTGCAGTTACAATTGTGACTTCAATTTATCAAGTTCACCAGTGATCCCGGCCATATCCCACTTCCGTATCAAAACAACGTTATTACTCCATGATTGGGTCCACACTTAGGGCCATCTTGTTATTCATATCGCAATGCGTTCAAATCCATCAGTCGATGAGTGCAAACCTATTGAGTAGCCTGACTCTAGGATTAGTAAAGGACTTGCACATGTGGACAATGCGCTCGATCGATGCAACTTCAATGATCCCGTGCGTGGCCTCCTTCCGCCCCGGCACCAGTTGGGGGCAAAGTGTCTGGGGACACACCCCCTCCTCCTCGTAATACTTCACGAATACATATGCATCTTCCTCCCCGCTGTAGTTCACCGCCCTGAAAATACAGAGACACCACGCATACCACCACTCCTCCTCCTCCTCCTCCTCCCTCTCTCCCGGTATTGCAATGTCGGTGAACCAGTTCTCCTTCGGGCTTGCTTTCACGAACATCGCCTTCGGAACCAAGTACCCCCCTTTCGTGCTAGGGATGGCCACTGCGGTGTGCACCTGCCGGGTATGGGTGGGTTTGCATGAGGACCAACACATTGTACGATGACGCCTCTTCAAGTACGTGTCCAACACACAACGGCCCACCCCCCTTTACAACCGAAGCCAACAACTTGATTACCGAGTTATTAACATGACACTGCATCTCACCAACACACGTGAAGTCTGAAGGCCTTCCGCGGCCATGAGTGTCGCCATGTTGTCAAACTCGCTGCCCACCGTCTCCCTGTACACCATCCGCAGTGGATCGTCTGCCGCCATGAGACACATGGCCTTGCTGGTGCGGGTCAGCGCGGGCTTCATGCTGCGCACAGCCTGAGGGGTGGGTTGTGAGCACGCATGGGATGAACCGGTGGAGTCATTGATTCCAAACACCCCGCATACCTGCGTGCCTTTAACAAATGCCACCAACACTACACGGCGACGCGTTGTGTACCTCTCGCAGGGCGGTGTAGTAAGTTCTCCCTCCTCCTGACAGCGCTGCAATCTCCCGAGTGATCTCGCGTTGCGTCTCCTCCTCGACAATCCTCCTTGGTATGTCTTTCCAGTTGCTTCCGCGCACGGGGCCCTTCACGGTGCCCTTGTGGGTATGCTCCCACAGCTCCGTGGAATACTCATGCGGCAAACCCCTCATGGATATGCCGTTGATGAGGTGCACAACTTCGTGGAGCTTCACAAAGTTCCAATTCGACTTCTGCCTCGGGAAAGCCGCCTGCAGTGCAGCCACCAGTCTACACGGAGGTGTATGCACATTGTAATGCGAACATTGAAAGAATCACCACAGTGTACAACATGGCCAATTGTAGCACCGAAACACGTGGCCATCATGTTCACTCACGAGATGCCATGCTGCCTCGCGATGGCGATTGTGAGCCGCGTGTGCTTGGTCACAGCCAGCAGGGACTTGTAGAAGACCGCATAGTAGCGGAACGCACGAACCTCCTTATCCCTCTGGTCCCTTTCCTCCGCAGAGCGCCCCACACACAGGTCGGAAATGACAATAGGGAAAACCTGCATCATGCCACGATACTCGAACGCCGCGTAATTCGCCCCGCTGCGGAAAAAGGTGGAGCCACCCGGGATGCGCACCAAGACACCCCTTGTCTCGCCCTTCACGCCAAACTTGCGGCTGTTCCACGCACCAATCACACACAAGCAATGAGATTCGATTGTTCCCGTGGTGAGATCCGCCACGTACGCACTACCACATACAAAACAGTTCACGGAATCTCCGTGTACTCACTGATCAAACCCCCGAATCTCGGCCTTCGTCTTCCCCTCCATGAAACAGGTGGCCATATGCACCAGCACCCCGGAATCCAGTACATGCAATATGTCGCCAACAATCGCCAGGAAGACGTTACCCCACTTCGTCTCAGAGAAGTTCCAGCGCTCCAGAACGCTCTGCACGTTGGATGGTGCTGTCAAACTCATCATAAAAAGCAACATCATGCCGGTACAATCATGGCCGCGGCCATGTGACTTGCCACACACAAACATCGAACGCGCACCGTGATCGGATGCGTTGACCACCTGGCCTGGATCGCTGCAGCGTCTTCCACCTTCATAGCGCTCAGTATCTTCGCCGCCGCGTGCCGCTCTCCCTTCACAGTGCGCACTATTGACTGGTTTGACAGGTCATGTAGGTGCGCCCTCTTGATGTAGCAGCTCGAGCACGGTCTGTGCGACGCCTGCTGCATCGTTGCTGTGGCCCGGCACCCTTCCGGATAGTCGCCAACAAATGCATAGAGGCATGGATATGCCTTGACCACACCTCCCCGGCCGTCCGACACATCGAAGACTCGAAGAGGACCACTGCATGCACCACGTACATGTTTGATGGGTCTCAGAAACCGACAATGACCCCGTTCGCCTCCAACGGCCTAGAGCATGCATTCGGACCACTTACTCGCGGCTCTCACGCATCAGCGGACCCATCACGATGTGATACGCCTCCTGATACACCCGCGTCTTCTCCGTCGCCGATGCCCACTCTGTCGGAAAAGGGAGCACACCCACTAGCGCGTGCCCAGGCTCACGCCACCGTAACTCCTCCGGGACATTGACCAAACCCATCAACATTGGCCATGCCTGTAGGCGTCCGTTCCCCGACGCGTAAGTGCTGTCGCTGTACGAGATGACACCCAGCACCATAGAATCCTCCTCCGGCAGTTCCGCCTGACAACGACACAAGGCGACCAAAAGAGTCAGACCAACTCACATCAGAGCCCCATGTGACGCTTGGGAACATTTGCCTCTACTTGCCTGCGCCTCTTCCAGCCAAGTCCCTGTGTCGGGCGTACTGAAATGTCTTGTGTCCACCGTATCTTCCGGATCTCGCCGCGGCCGTTTGACAAATCCCCTCACATTCACGAATGTCTTCACCATCTTCTGCGCAATCTGTCCACACGGAGGCGCGGGAAGCCTGTGTATAGACGGTGCATAAACAGACATACACTCGCCGACTCCGTGCAGCACCAACCATCAATCGCTCACCAGCTTGGTGTCCTTGTACTGCAGTTCCAGCATCTAAGACCTTCCTCCGGGGCCCCGCACCTCAATCTCTGCCTTGAGCCACGGCACCATGTCGTCCGGCACGTGTTCCTCCCCAAACCGCCTCACGTCGGCGACGTTCTGCCAGCGCCGAACCGCTGCAGGATCGTATCCTGGGTGGTTGAATATGTGCAACACTATATTTATTTCTCTGTCCGACAAATCAGCGTCCTTGAAGAACAGGTACAGCTCGTTCAGAGTGTTGAACAGGTCGCCAACTGTGGATACAGATCCATCGTCCGACGTCGACACGTACCCGCGCACAAAATCCGCGTGCTCGGGAAACTCTCTCAAATATATGAACAGCGAGTCGGCGGAGTGGGGGCTGCCTGGGACTGACTCACTGTCCGAATGACGCGGGCTATTTGTCACCTCGGCCAAAGCCTCCGCCAACGCCTCCACCGCCCTACTCTCGAGCCTCTCGAGCAGCGTGTCCCTGCACGTGTCATTGCGATACAGATGGATTCTCAGTAGGTTGTCTGACTCCAGCTCCTGCCCGCACGCCCCGCACCTGTTCCCTGCCATGTGTCTTAATCTGCGCACACACCCAATGGCCGTTCCATGACTTCCCCTCTAATTCCCGTTAGCCAACCATTACCATCATGCATGTTCTCCACTACACGCAGTACCACCTATGCTGTTTTTGAGCCGCGCACGCCCTGCATCCTACCACCGAAACTCCGTACACTACGTCTCGCGCACCGCAGACCGTTCTATTACTCCAGTTACTAATCCTGCATGTTCGGAACATGGGTCCTCCGCCTACGTCACCCCATTATCACAGCTGCTATAATGGCTCGTCAAATACATCGTGCACGCACAAAAGGGCGGAGAGTCCGGGCGGGCGGCCTTATCCGTAACGAGAAACCCTAACCGGCTGAAATGCATGCGGTAAGAAATCCCTTCGTGAAGTATGCACTTGCTTTGTTCAGGCGCGGTGGTTACACCACGAGGTGGGAATATACTCGATACAGCAAAACATAGAAGATCAATGTTCAAACACCGTCTGTGATTTCCGATGGACTATCTCCCATCCTTGCTAGACATAAACGGTGAATTATTACAACAATTGTCCACACCCCTACGAAACCTATGCCAATGCATTTTTCCACATGTGTCACACAAAACCACAATGGCATACTTAAAATCTAATACATAAGCGGGTTCAGGGCAACTACATGCATTCCAAGTACGGCATGCTTTACCCTCCGGCCATATGGGGGTAAACTTATCAGTAATAGCTGCCACGGTGGTCACGCCGACTACGACATCGCCGCATGAGACGATCAAGTACATCTAACAGGAGCAATGCTCCATCAATATTGGTGGTCCTGGTACCATCTGCCATAAGGGTACAAAGACAAGTCGTGAGGCAATGTGAAGCATCGGCCACGGCAAATAACAGGACGGCCCTTACCTCCGGGGTCCTCGACGTGCGTACGCCTCCGCCTCTCGCGGCGCCGCCCATACTCGTGTGTACGTTCATCCGGGCATCCTATGGGACATGTACGCAACGTAGCGCAGCGCGAGGTAAATAACGTGCAACAGGGCTTCCACAAGTGGCAGCACGCAGTCAAGCAATTCATGTTGTTTGTTACTCACCTGTCTGTGACCGGACGTGCCTCGTAGGAGTAGCGGCGCTAGACACGCAAGTACCCGGGGCCCTGTACGCCAAGCTAGACCTGGAGGGTCTGACTCTCCCGTCTCAACGGGCACATTATTCGCGTCGCCCCTATTGCCAGGGAAGAAGAAGTCGAAGAGATCATTCACGCGGGTAGAACCTTCGCGTGAATCGGCCGGTGGATCTTCGCGCTCCGCACCCGCGGCTATTTCCTCAATCTGCATCCTCTCCCAGCTACTAGGTACCGAGTGTGCAGCATCTACATTCCCCCCAGCTGATATCGTGGGCTGTTCGTTCTTCACAGGTCCCGTAATTGACTGCGTAGCCACCGTGACTCCATCCTCCGTTTCGTCATCAGATGAGTCTACCACCGGCTGTCGGCCATTACCGGTGTGTGGCTCGGGTGTAACAGTCACAATGACGGTTTTATCTCGACTGATGTCGGCACCCGCGTTTATATCACCACACGCTGGCGGTCCCTGCATACGAGTGCCATCTCGATCAAAGCTACCACCGAGTAGCTTGTTGATGTGACGCGCCGCTACCTCTGTGTCGTTGCTGCTAGGGGATGCCATACCGGGCATAAGGTTAGGGTTTGAGCGAATAGCCACACAGTGCTAAATGACTCCTTGTATCTGCCTCCCAAACACCGAAGCCACTTCGGAAGCCATTTCCGTCCGCGATATCGCCGCCAAAATCTCGCCGTTTGACCTTGTACACCCGATTGATTTACGGTGTGTGTTACACGACATGTACAAAGAAGCTCGATAGTGTGAACGGCCCTGAAAACTTGTTCTCTTTGATGTTTACATGTTACATCAAATCTCAAACTGGCTACATCTGCAAGTATTTCAACGTTTCCACGGCACATTCTAATCCCGTTCCGTAACAACCTATGCCCACGCGCCGATAAGTCAAAAGGCCCTGTCTACCGGGTGGCGTTATACTTTACTAGGCGAACGTAGGCACAATCAATAGTCTTGGATGAGGTGCCCGTCATGGACTCTTCTTGCATGGGCTTACCTTGGACCACCAGGGTATCATCCCCAGAGCACGACTGAGATCCCCGATGCGCACTCCTTCGTCCATGTCCTTCCACTCCTTGGGCCTGTGCACCTGAAACATGCTTCATCTGAGTTTAGCGTAGGACATGCAGGCACCACAACCCACACCGTCCTTTGTAAGGGCATCAACGGAACAATATATATGGCTTACAATGGATGAGGTGCCACCTCCCGTGCATATGTCTCTTGAGTGAGGTGCCAAAATCCTGGACCCATCGGACCGATGTCTCTCCTCCTGCACACCAGATAAACATCCCACACCTTTCAATGGCCATCGGAAACACACCCAGTCGGCACACCAACGATCCTCACCTCATATCCCATCGCCCTCGCCTCGGCCATTAGAACGACTCTGTAGTCAAATGTCGGTAACCCCGGCAGTATGACATCCTCGAGGCTTGTTGCGCTATGATTTACGAGTCTGTAATCCGCTATTGACGTCATAAACCGTCGACCTTTGGCACGTGTAATGCTCGACTCCGACTCGTCCGGATACGTGGCGTATATGAGCCTCAGGTACATGAACGGTGTGGGTGCATCGGGTGTTATTGCAAGAGACGCACGGGCTTCTGAAATCGCGCGCGCCCTGTGCTGTCTAGGACTGCGCCTTCCACTACCCAGGAATGGGTCCAGAGACCTCAGAATCGTGGCCGCGCTAAGGGTCTCACCTCGTTGTGACATTATGGCACCCTGCACCTGCATTATGGCGTAGGCTATAGTGGGCTTAGACCGTATGAAATAACCCCGGGTGTTGCGCCGACGAGGCTCCAGCACGTCGCGCGCTTTACAACGCGTTGCGCTCATCATGCCACTACCAACTAAAATCAGGAACATTAGGCGGACGTTAGGGTTTTGTAAGTGTCCGTCCTACGGGAATCGAGGAACGGGCTGCTGGGACGATATGGGGTGTTGAGTGGTTTGTGGAGTGTTGGCACGCTTTCATGGTCAACTGGGTGTACTGAGCACAAACTGCAAAATTAGTTCGCGCTTTCTTCAGATTGTGCCATATCGGGGAGGTGAACATCATACTCGCTCTCGGATTGAGTGTGGAAATCCCTATATCCCCAACGTGAACAATCTCGTTACGTACACAATGATTGATGATGTGCTTATTATTCGACAAATACAACGGTTATTGAGATCAATACAACCATCAGTTACTACATCCCATACTCAATATCCCCATGCACGCTAGACAGGGATGCCGTTGGGGAGTTGAAGCATATCTCCTCGCTGGCCGTGGAAGACATGGACGAGGAAGGCGCGTATGAATGCCTCCTAACCTTCTTCTCTGGTGTGCGCAGCAGTCGGTCAACGAGGTCCGGATTCCCCAAGCACTTAAGCGTGACGACGACACTCGGAGCTACTCCCGTCGCGCTAGCAAGCCTTGTGTACGCATCAGATGCCATACGCATGAACCGGCGGCGAGTCCTGTCGTCCCATGAGACGCGGCCGACACTGCTTGAATCATCAATCCGACGGATGACCGGCTCAAGAACACGTTCGGCCGTATCCTCGTCCATGGTGTCATCCCAAGTCGCGTAATCCAATGCTTCCATCACGCAGTCGGGGATGTCCAACTTGTCCAGCCTCCTCTGCAGGCCCGTCAGGCTAGCGACGAGCTGCCCCACAACCTCGACATGCAGGTCGCGGTTGATCGCGTGAAGCCGAGGCAGCCACTCGTCCGGGACGCACCCAGTGCGCCAAAACGCAAGCTGAATGTGAGATGTCGCCACCCCCCACAGTGCCTGGTATGTCCACTGCAACGTGTTCGTGGCCGATGGAGAGTTGCTGGTCCACACCCAAGCTGGAGGCACGCGCGTCATGAAGCGACTCTGGTGGTCCACCCACATTGTGCGGAATTCGGACCTGAAGAACGTGACAATGCCCTGCACGACGGGGTTCCCCACGTCTGGTATAGTATCATGAAGCTGCACAATGCGAGTATGGGTTAGGTGGTGCACCATGAAGGGCCCACTCGGCTCTCGCTTGCCCTCTCCCCAAGTGAGCTTGTGCCTACGCGAGGACACAAGGACGACGATGTCACGGTCCTCTGCAAATTTTGCAGCGTTGAGGCCTAGCATGAACTGCGTGAAAAGCTGCACGCAACAACATAGAGTATCACAGAGACATTTATTGAGCACCAACGTCTTGAGTCCATATATAGGAGACATTTTTGCGTGTCATCTCTACTACATTTCGCCATTACCTCGGGGGTTATGCGGCCGGACCGAGTACGGCGGATATATGCCCACTCGTCGCCACTGACATCGGAGCCCAGCCTAAGTGGCTCCCGATCGCGGCTCTCTACAATGGGCCTGAAGCGATGCGCGCCGTCTGCGGAATAGAGAAGGCCGATAGACAGCCTCTTCATATCATTCCCATTGCGCCCGACGAACGGATGCAGGTATGGCTGCAGAGCAGGTAGGAGAGAAACCTCTACAAATATGTAGACGTCGCTGGGAGGTGCGCCAAGGCGCGACAAGAGATCCTTTAGAGCGGCCATGGAAGTAAAGTGGCGTCTGCTACACCTGGCGGCATATGATATAGCCGGTAGGTTTGGCGGGTACAGCGTCCAATGTAGCTGCTAATTGACAATGAGTGAGTCTAGCTTCTGAAAAGCATCGGCGCCAGCTGGCCACTCCCTCTTTGCCCTGACAGGCGTGGATTGGCCACAGAAGCTACTGATTGCGCAATGACGTGGGTACACCTCATAGGCTACCACAGTTGTGCGCGCTTGAAACCACATGTTTGTGACCTGAAAGCTAATCTGTTAGTGACCTTTCCGTACCCTGTATAGTATATGCCCGGGCCAGTTGGGGTTCCGATATATTGTGCGC